ACTCACCTCTTTCGTAGGTACAGCATTTTTCTAATATTGGAAATGAGCTCAACTTCCTGGATGACTTTATTAGCTTGTTCAGACAATTTTAGTTCTTTGCTATTCAGAAAAGAAATCTGATGGGGGGAAATGGTATTTCCTTTCTTCTCAATAATTAAGAATGATTAACTAGCAGTGACCTTTTCTGAACTATGCATGGACTTCTAATACTTAAGTTTGCTTTCAGTCTCAACTGTCTTCTCTTCAAGAGATTCTGCTCTTATGGAAGTGCAGATTTTGTTCTCTCCTTAGACTTCGAGGAGTTTACTGAAACAGTAACATTATCTGTGCTATTATTCAGGCAATCCGGAGTTCTTTGTTGGAGACAGGTATGGTACGGCCTTCAAAGACTCTACCCGTCGCACATACATTTTAGAAATAGATTCTGATTCTCTGCTGTTGTGAGACTGTTCTGTTGAACTCAATTAATTCAGGCTGTTGAATGTAGTGAAACTAAAACCCAGGGAGAGACACTAATGTAATGGATGAGAATCTATATCCAAGAGCTTCATTTCAATCTTCTGATTGTATTTTATCCTGACCTCCATTTCACAATAAGGACATGAAAAATGCATTTGCAACTCAAATCACCATCTGGGTCTGAAAATATTCTTGTGAGAGATGCTTTCCGTTGATTTATGCAGTTACAATCAGAAATTAAGCCTCCCAGATGGGATACGTGATGCTCTATTTTATTAGAATTATGCAGGGACTAAATTTATTCTATAATGTATTCCAAACCTGCCTAAAGGGAGACTGACAGAAATTGCTCAGCTGCCCTAAAGACTCTCCTCCGACTAATCCCTAATAGCCATGTGAAATCTCAAGAAGTTTTAGAACCACTGCTGCCTGTAAGCTAAAATTTAAGGAACAGGCATTTTGCCTGCAGATTAGGTCATAGAAAAATATTCTTAAGTCCCTTAAGGAAAAATAACGGAATTCTGCAGTCTTATTACTAGCAAATCCTGCAACATAAAGCCCAAGCAAGGCGCAAGGCGAGCAGAGCTTACCTGGGAGCCTGGCGCAGCCCCGAGCCGGGCTCCGCACGCCGGCAGCGCGGCCGTCCGCGCTCCGCACCCCATCTGCTGGCGCTCCGGAGGAGGGGCTCCGCTGGCAAGGCTGGCCCCGGCTGGGTGCTGAGGCAGGCTCAGCAAGAGGGTACGCTCAGAAGAATGGATCCTCACGCATCAGAGAGGGCAAACCCTCACTCTCCAGAAACTGAGTTCGAGCTGTTTGGCTTGGCCACCAAAAAGCACTTAGCACGTATTCCCGCTCCGCTAACTTCGGTTTCTTTGTCAGCGCAAGGTACAACGTGAAGAAAAGACAAAGTACACACAAATCCTTTCTGTACTTAAATCAGCAGTACAACCCCAGCTTTTTTCGCTCAACTTACAATGCTGCCAAACTTTCCCATGTGTTACAAGACTCTAAACGGGTCTCTCAAAAAATCAAGACTCCTGCTACAGAGTTTAGGTTGAAGGGCACATAGTTTGGAATGAGGCCCCGCAAAGGGTCTTAAATAGATTCCACATGAGCACAAGACGCAAGCACCTACCCCAGGCTGCACTGTTAGGTACAAGCTATAAGGTAAACAGCAAAACACTGAGTGAGTAGGAAAATGAGGAAAAGTTAGCAGGAGGGAAAACCAGGATCAACATACTGAAACTAACGTCACAGCAGCAGAGGCAAAATTTCTTTTTCCCTCCTCCTCTTCTCCCCCTCTGTATGGTAGGATTATTGTTGTACCAGAGGTAAGGCAACATCCCAGTGCATGCTGAGCCTGCTACCAGAAAAAGGCTGCTGGGGAAGAGGGTTGATGATAACTTGTTGAGGACAGTAGCAGGGAAGCAGGAGAGCAACCAGAGCAAAGGAAGGCAGAGGCAATCCCTTCTCTCGTTTTAAAAGAAGTTGTTACCACGCTGGAAAAATACAATAAATCTGAGCTCCTCACGTCCTAACTCACCGTACTCCAGGAGCCTGAGTGCAAGGAGACACACTGTTCAGCAGTACTCATGGCAGCTCTGCGAGGCTGCGGGTCTAAGCAAGCGCCTACCGTACTCCGAGCCTGAGTGCAAGGAGACACACTGTTCAGCAGTACTCATGGCAGCTCTGCGAGGCTGCGCGTCTAAGCACACTGGGCTGCAGCGGCCTCTCCGCATGCAACAGCACCCCCCAGCGCAGAAACCCACTGCCAACAGCTCGGCTGCCCACAGCCCGGCTGCAAGACAGCCTGCCTCAGACTTCGCTGCGAGAACTGCTTTCGAAGTAAATGTCTGCTTTCCGATAGCGTTACAGTTACCAGGAAATATCCCTGAGACTTTGTTAAAATTTTCAGGGGTAACAAAACATAGGCTGCTTTGCAGCAGGACAAAAAGTTGGCGGGCATAGATCTGTCACAGGCCTTACAGGTGTAACGGGTTGGGAGGGAAAGACGGAGCTTTGCGTATTTACATCTTTTCAACCTATAGTCTCCTTATCTTTAGGTATACTGAGATTCAAGTCCAGGATCTGAATCCAAAGAAGGGACATGAGCCTCTACTCCTCGCATCCCAGGTAAGCGGCTTGAGCCCTGAGCCTGTGGGTATGCTGAGTACTTGAGGATGAAGAACACACATTCCTCTTCAGTTTTGATGAAAAACTTTAGCCTAAACACAAAATACTTAACAGAACTAACACATTTTCTTAATCAAAATATTTTCGTATCAACACTCCACCTCCCCAACCAAGCTCCACCGAAAACCTCTCCAGCCAGCCCAGAAAGAAAGCTTAACCAAAGGTCTTTTTAATGAATTCCTAACAATGGCTGCGGATGGAAAATTGTTAATTCTCAAGCTTTACCTTATCAGGATCAGTTTTCAAAATAACAACAATCAGGAAAAGATCCTAAAATTCTTTCATTCAGAATTCGTAACTCAGTAGTGAGAAATTGATTTGCGTCCTCTACAGCTGCACACGTTCATCATTCCTGGAGGAGTCAGAATGCAGTACAGACACTTTTCAGCTCAGTATCCTCAGAAAGTAGGACTTAAGCAATCATGTTACAGGTCCATCCAACCTTCGTAATTTATTTCATTGATGATTTCAATGATTTTGTTCATATGAAGTTATTTGAAAATAGGCTACTGGAGGAGAGAGGCCATTATTAGCATGCTCATCAGGGGCAATGCTGCAGCACGAGTTTGTATTTGATAAGACATCAAAGAAAGGGAGAAGACATTATAAATGCTTTAATTCTAGGAAAATCTTCCACCAAGAGCCACGTTTTATTATGTATCAGAAAACCTATTCAGCCACCAAGGTTTCTCTCTCGTCTCTTACAGATTAAAGCCGTTTGTAACTTTTCATGATATTAAAGTATTCATGTTTCCTTTTTTTTGTATGGCACATTCACCATAAAGAGTAATTTATAGAAAACTGGTTTATTTTGTCCCCAAGCTGACAAAACTGTTTCTCTTACAGGGTCCAAGGGAGTAGGAGCTCTGTTTTACCACCACTTCCTATGCTGAGGCACTTCTATGTTGTTCAAGTTGATGTGTAAATTTTTGCCAGTGTAATCACTAGCTACAGAATCACTAAATAGTGTAAAAATGGTCTGCATTGAGCTAGTACATCATCCAGTACACACCACTAACATACACGCACCCTACCATCCTTAGGCCTTCTGCTTGAAATGAACAGTGTGAATATACTTGCAGATGACTATAAACAAATCCTTTTCAAGTTCCAAGCACAACATGTGGACAAAAACACATGCCTTTATGTCTGCGTAAGCCCTCGTATGCCCAATTGTGTTGTACCTCTCTAAGTCAAAGCCCTGGATCGTGCATGCACTTCAGATGCACGCAGGTCTGTGAGTCTGGCAGTCCATCAGCTGAACGGGGGCTACTTTCTTCTGGCTTTCTAGCATAGTTCGATCACGTCACTAAATGCTGAGACTAAGTCAGCAGAAGGTGTCCGATGCCTTCTCTTATGCTAGTACACTTTTATATTATCCAAAGCTGACGTTCAGCCAACCTTCAACTTCATATATATACACCTATAACACAAAGATGTCTATAGAACAGGCACCAAGTACGTAAGATCTGCTTTGAAAAATGTACCATTCATCACTGCTTATTCTTCTTAGACCAAGCTTCTCGCTCTTCGCCTCTATGTTCAGGGTGTCTTTATTTTGCACATTTCTTTCCACTGACACCTCTCCAAGTTTGTGTCACGCAGTGCTTGTAACTTTAGCAAGCCAGGGAGAACACAGCAGCTCACAATTCCCATAGCCATCCCTGCTCCAGCGAAGCAGAGAAGCTCCATAATGGCTTTTGTGTAAAGCTTCCGCTATTCTGGCTTTATTTCCAGGCACGCAGGGGGTTCATCAGCTGACAAAGCTGGCAGGACATAGGATTTAATATGCCCTGCTATCTTGACGGCACATCTACTGTATTCAGAACATACAGAAAGGTACAGCCTGATCATATTTATTATTGAAGATGACAAAGGTCAAAAGCTGGGTCAAATGTACCACAGCAAAGATTAGTTCCCTGCTTTACTATGTGGTTAAACGCTATTTATGAAATTACCAGACAGCCCATTAAGCAATCCAATTACCCAAGGTTTAAGAATGTGATACAAGAAGCTTTCAACCATGTCAGTTGTTTGAAAGGAGCCTCACCTGGAGGCTTAGAAAACGACTCTGTCGTGTGAGCAGTTATTTACAATTGGTACCTTACTTAAAAGTCTCAGAGAAGTCCCCCAAAACAACATGAATGGCCTTTTAGGCTTAGGAAAAGCCTCTTTCAGGACAAAAGTAAAATGGAAGCTTGCTTGGCTATTTTACTTTTTTATTGTAGTTGTTCTATGGATGAATAGTTGTGAATAACAGACTCGGTTTTCTGGATTCTGTCCCAAAGATTCACATGCATTCATGAAACAACAAGAAGTGAAACACAACACATCGCTCCGAACTCCAAGCAGGTCTCATGTTTATTGAAATATCTCAAGTTTAATGAACATGATGCACATGGCTCTTGCTGTATCACATACCCTCACAACTGCTAAGTTAGCCACTTTGGATTCCTACAGAAACTTCCTTTCAGCACAGCAAGGTGAAGCAAATATGGCTGCTACAAATATAAAGCAAACTTAGAGGTCCTGCTAGGAATCGCAACTGAAATATCATGAACCACCTTTTAGTTAAACAAAGCCTGAGGATTCCCTGAGTCTGAATTAGGAATAAAAAAAAAACAAACCCCAAAAAACAAACCCTAATTTATGGCTTATGCATCTTTTTGCAATTATTTTTTATAAAGAAAGTTTGCCGCAGTTTAAAATGCACTATTTTCTATGCCACGTAGAAAAGGCTTTTTATCCTGTTGGGATTACTGACAGAAATCTGGGTTGAATCCAACCATGGCACAGAAACTACCATCTGGACTGAGGCAACTGACTCTGGAGATTGTTCATACCTCTACATTTGGCATGGAACTTTTGTGCAATTCAGAGGAGCCAAAGTCCTCTGCATAGTCGATGGAAAGAGCGAGGCACCCATACTACAGACAATTACAGCTCCAAAGCCAGACCCCTGAAGCAGATGTGAATCCTCTCCCCCCATTAAATGGGGGCTTAGCCCCAGTTTGAAGTGGAAACCGAGACAAATGGAAACTGCCGTTAATACTGCCAGGCTTCACCAGGGTGTTGTACGGTTCCTGAACACAATGGTGGCGAGCACCACATAAGCAGCTAAGAAGTAAACAGATCTTCAAAGCAGCAGATGATTAAAGGGAAAAGTCCATGCAAATTAAGTCACTCAAGCTATAGAATTAATGCTTTGGCTCTTCCCTCGCCAGTAGTATACCTGGGGGAGCTTGGTTTTTAGTGGTCAGTGCAAAGAAAACAAAACACGAGTATGTTACATCATTCTCCTTGAAAGCCATAACCTATTGACAAAGCTAACTGAAAGTGGTATTTCTTTAACCGCTTCTCTTGTTCCAGGAATCTGCAAGGGCAAATAACAATCCTTATCCATAGCTGGTACGTGAAACATACCAGGACATTAAATCAAGAAAAATGCAGCAATGAATCAGTCCCAAAATAGGAGATTTCAACTGACAGTGGTGATCTTCTCTGGCTTCATGACAGTTCTTCTGGGCAATATTGAAAAAGAAAGTCATCTGACGTAGCTAGCTTGTATGTGATGGCTAAAATAATAATGCAGCAAAAAGTCACTAAGTGCTTGTTAAAGTACCAGCACCAAATGGGTCACTGCAGTACTAGGAGTACTACTGAAAGGTACTCAGAAATGGCAACGTACTGAGAAATGGCAGTGTTTCATGCACAGTGAAATACTTACTGTTTTAATTGTCAAGCACCTGAGGTGCTGAATGGACTAACTTGTCTTTCAGACATGTCACTAAATTTATATGCACGTGACATACTCCTTTTGTGCAAAGTCACACTCCTGTTTTTTGAGTACCATGCCACTGCGTGCAAAATCAGCAGGATACAATGAGGATTTCTGCAGGAGAGAGAAATAATACTGAGGAAAACAAACCAAATATGAATCCAATTCAGTAGTCATTGCTGGCATTTTAAAAATGCATCATAAATAAACAATGTAGCATTATTGCCAGAAAAGCGTATGTTCCAAAAAGACGAATTCCTGGTGAACTAATACTCTGAAATACCATTGCCGGCTTAGAGATATTTGCTAATCATGTTAATTATTTCATTATACATGCGGTAAGGTGCATCAAGGCCCCAGATGAAATCCAAATGTTCCCATTCTGGAATGTTTTTGCGGTAAACCAAGTTTGTGATCTGAGTGAGCAGCATAGCAACATCCTTTGGGTCTGCCAGCCAGTCCTGTCCACCAGTCCACACCGCGGTTGGTACAGTCATCTCTTTTATTTTGTAGAAAGGGGGAGTAGACTGAGGAGGGGGAAAGTGAAAAGAAAAGCATTAGAAAGAACAAGTCTTCAGTGTGATACACACTGCAGTGTAACATACTAGCAAATGCAAGAAGAGTGTGTCAGATTCTCATTTTCTCTTCCTCTTTTGGGCAGCTAGAGACGGAGATGGAGTCCTGACTCAACAGAAAATTTAACTCCAAGAGTCCTGCAATATTATAGCAAGCATAGCAGTAAAGATGTGGTTTGAAGAGTTAACAAGACAGCAGGGTAGCAGAAGTCTCAGAGAATGCATCCCATTCAAGTTATTTCTAAACCCTAGCAAATACTAAAAGTGACTGTTACTCTGAAAGTATGATACTGCGATCTTTCCCAGTCACTAAAGGGACAAGGGGCAAAATATTTTTAGCATCGCACACAGCAATTTAGAAACAAACATGCACGGAGATTAAACAGGCTGAAGATAAGCACCACACATGAATTGACAGTCTATGCATTAGTGTGAGAAGTGCAGTGGGATCTCATGATCTAGGCAGGCAGGACCCCCTCAAGAAACAGCGTGCCATCACAACTTCATATCCAAGCGTGGGCTCCATACTGACCTAGGACTACCTCAGAGCTCTATAGTCCTATCTTTTTTTTTTTTTGGAAAAGGCAGATCTCCAGTTGGTTACTGGGCAACACTAGTGGCTTTTCAGCATGCAGCATAAACACAGCACCCGGAGAAGTGCCCAAGGACTTTTCTTGTAACGCTCAAGAATTGTAACATATCCATAAAAGATGTCTACCTGGTTGTAGTGAGCCATATTTGCAGCCTTGCTTCCCCAGTCATAAGCTTTGAGTTCCCCAGTCTTCACAGCCTAGAAATAAACAAATATTCACACATACAAAGAACTGCAACACTTCTATTGCAGGAATAAAAAAGTATAGGTCATCTGGAGAATTGGCAAAGGCAACTGACACAAGAAACAGTGAAATGCCAAGTACTCACAAGGACAAGTGTCACTGCTTTGCCCAGCGTCACAGGAGTGGGAAACATTAACATTCAATACCATTAGACTTTGTCCCTTAAGATTTCACACTCTTTCATAGCAACAGTAGGAAAGATTAAGGAAACCAGTTTTGTGTATCCAAAGCCAGGATGTGGCAGCTCCATGTTTACTTCTGAAATATTTACCTTGCTGTCTAAATATATATGAACACAGCACAGAGCTTTCTTAGAAATTCTACTCTGTATGATTTACCACCTATTATTTTTCAGAAACAGAAGTCTATATAACAGGGATCTGAGGGGAAGAAAAAAAAAAAAAGTCTTCACAAATTTCTTTCTGAGCCAACACTTGAACAGCATGTACAGCAGAACACATTGCTTCTGAACAGATGACCAAGTCCAGTTACAAGATCACAAGTAGCACTGATGGCTGCTTCCATGGCAAATGCCTTCTCGTATTTGTCAGCCTGCTGAGCAAGCTTCAGGCACCATAGCATCACAGGCATGAAATTGTGCACCGAGGTGAAATTCAAAGTACGCTAATAAAACAGAAAGTGAAGCCAAACAGAAAAGAACAGAACAGAAAGACTACTGCTTTTCACTGGCTAAGAATATAACTTGTAATCAAAACAGGATTTGCTGAAAGGGGAGCAAATACTTGTTACAGTATCTCCGAGTTAAGTTAGTCCATTGTATTGTTTGTTGGCCTGAAGTACTTACAGTTAGCCTATCTTCAAAGAAATAGGGGAGACTGGTGAGCCACTATAAGTCAGTATCATCAAAGCAGCTGCAGTGAACAGTTGCTGTTCTGACAATTGGCAGTTCCAGAATTTCACTTGGGCTATGCTACATATATATTTTGGCATTTATTCCATTTAAATATCAGAGACATCAATATTCTACCAACAAGCTAGAGTCACGGACGTTTTAGATTCTGGAAACTCTACCTGGCTCCAGTGGATCATGTTTTGTACAGATGTCCCTGCAGGGCAGTGTGTTGAATACACATCCACTCGGCTCTGCAACAAGATAATTAATATTGTTTACTCCTCACAGTGCAACAGTGCAACCATTATTGCTTCTTGAACAACTAACAGAAAATTTTCCATTCCTCCTAAAACTGTTATAAACAAAAATTAACTGGAGCCATATATACAGATGAGGTAAAAGGTTCAAGTATTTTGGGGATTACTTACAATTAACTGCAGAACTTTAAAGCTGAACTTTAAACCTGATGATGATATCCCTTAAGCATTTTTTTATGTATTCAGAATATCTTTTAAAAGGTGCTAGTATTGTAAGAATTGGGAACACATTAGCTAACATTTAGATCGGCCTCCGGAGAAACCTTGTGTTACTCTACATCTAAACTAGTAGCTGTCAGTCCAAAGTGATTCCGAACTTCATACACTTTGAGTTTAGAAGTACGAAATACCCAGGGGAAACTTAAATCCTGGCAGAAAAAAAAAATATTATCCACCATTAAAACCATGAAAACTGTATGTGCTGGGCAAGAAAACATCAAAAAACTGCACTTTCACCTTGATATAAAATACAAAAAAATGTACATTTTTGCACACAGAAAAAAAATAATGCTAATTCTATCTCACTCCAATAAAAAAATCTTCAGCCTTCATCCACCTGTGCGTAAACTGATACCAGCTTCTACTGATTTCAAGGAGCTAGAAACTCTTTAAGAAGCATTATGAAAAAAGGCATTCTCACGCCAGTTGCATTTAACTAGCTTTTAGATAACAAAACAAGTCCTATGAACAAGTCCTTTGGAACTAGAACCACAGATGAAGCCATCAGCAGGGTCAGAAATTGGTCCCAGAGAAAATAATTGCACACATCCACTGAGAGACCAGAAAACTTCAACAGTTCTCTTGAAAATGGTTGAAAACTGTATCTTTATTCCTCACTTCTTTGCAAAAGGAATTAAATACTTGCATCATCATATTAATTCACTTCTCTTGCCCGCTTCCCCAACAGATCTGAAATAATGTATTTTACCTTTCCAGTAGCATTTTAAAAGGTTAATTCTATCCATCCAAGCTGCACAACTACATCTATACCAAGGAAAGATATTCATCCAAACTCAGTATGATGAAGAAGGCATTAGTTTTTTTCTAATTACATGTAAAGGACAATCAGTATGGTGACACACAGTCAATACAGTGTTAGAGTTCACAGTAACTCAGCTATTAAAAGTCACTAAAACATACCATATTCAAGTTTCTTTCATTAAAACCACACAGAAGAAAGAATATGTTGCCGCAAAGGTCATCAAGTATTCTGTGGGTGCACACGTGGGTAGCAAGCCACTTCAGCAACGAATTCTGAGGGAGGAATTGTTTCTTTCCAAACATGTCCTACAAAATAACAAACACACAGGACAAACACGTAATTGCATAGAATGACCTGGGTTTAGTTTTTATACTACAACATTCTTGAGGTAATTATTTCCATTTGCACTGGTGACAGGCGTGTCATATGAAAATGATTTATCTCCTTATCAACCTTGTTTGCAGTCCAATGGGCAGGTCACTGTTAGTGCTTCTGCTACAAATGATGCAGTCCATTACCCCCACAAAAAGTACGTGGGAACTGGGACCATTATTAAAGAATTCCAAACCTAACCTCAAATTCAAATCAGTTTTAAATTCAGTATTTTACAGGAGTACTACACAGCTTCTTGTCATCAGAACTGTTTAAGGCTAAAATATTTTAAGCTGCATCTGCTAATGTTAAATGGCTTTGTACTTCCAACTTCTCTTCAAACCACGTAAGAAAAACAAGTTCCATAAGCTGTGGTGGCCACTTCCTCTTGATGAGTATTTTTAAAACATCCAAGGATTTGAAAATGACCCACTGAGCACTTCCTTAAAAAGTGACACAGCTCTTTAAAGATATGCCTGACCCACAGATTTGTGGTTGTCATGTACTTCTGCGCTCCAGTTTTTTTGCAAGTCACCATGAGAATCAAGTTCCTCAGCACAACACGAACATCTGCACAGGGCACTGATCAGCTACTATCCTCATTAGACAAAGTTCATTACACGAGGAACAGGAGACCACAATAGTTAGTATCACTTTTATGTATCTGCCTTTGGAGCAGGGAACTAATAATGCAAACAGACATTCATTAAATGTGTACAAGGTATGTCAGAGGAGGGTTTATCTCACAGAACAAACAGTGCTGTATGGGACTCTCCATGGGTGGTGGAAAGAAAAGTGATGGTTAAAAATGACACATAGCAGGGTGTTCACAATGTCTGACTTCAGGCACTTAGTGCAGCCTGCCAATCTGCCTACGTTCCCTTTGATGTTAATGGGGAAAGGTAAACTCCTCCAGAGGATGATTCACAGCATCTAAATAAAGCTGCTGCTCTTAATCACCCTCTGAAGGATCCTCTTCTAATACTAAATGGTTAATTGTGAAACAAATCTGTTAAAGTTCATGACAATTCAAAAGTATTCTGTATAAAGCTATCATATGACTCTTCTAAAACAGACCAACTATTTAATTAATCATGTGATTACTGTAGCGTAAATTCTAGAAACATGTAAATGGAAAAACATAATTTTATTCCATCTATTAAGTTGTAATTGTAAAAAACTACTTTAAACTGATGCAAATTGTCTCATTAGACAGCAGTAAAGCCAGAGAAGCTACTGCTTCTCTCCATTATTATGGAAAAAATGGCCCAGTATTCTTGTCAAACATGTTAATCTAATCACAGCTATTAACATACTTTGCTATGCTGTTTTCAACTAGGAAGGGGGACACTTCATTTGGCTTAAAACATTTACACTCTAATACAAACCTTGAGTAGCAGGTCGGGAAACACTCCCAATTTTACCAGAGGGCTAGTGGCAAACTTGACTGTAGCTACTGGTGCCAAGGCAAAGAACATTTTGATTTTCTTAGCCAGCTGTGGCAAAGTTGAAAAAGCAACGAAAGCTGTAAATAATATGAGAATAATTAGCAAACCTCACTGACACAAGTTAGATGAGAATTTTACCTGGCAGTGATTCTATAAAATCTAAGATATGTTGAGTGCGCACAAGTATTTTTAGATTAATAGTTCAATTGTTGTCTCTAGGTTTGGTTTAGATATTTTAAATTAATTTAGTAACCGTGGAACACAAATTAAATGAGGCAAACCAGAAGGGTTTGTTTTCTTCTGAAAAACAAGTTCATGCTAACTAACCCAACACTCTTCTAGCTCTTTCTATCTGCAGGTCTAAAAGCACCTGAGCCAGGCCTTACATACAGCAAAATATTCTGGAAATGGGAATCTTTATTCTACATGTCTGATTATTCTAATTTTATTATGTACAGCTCATCAATTTATTTTAATAGAAACTGTACTGGTGGCTACCTGTGACTTCAATTTATCATTTCAACAGCTTCCCACTTTAAGTGAACACAGAAAGGTTAAGTCTTTTCTTTTTAATGTTGACTAATATTCCAGGAAGCAGCTAAAAACCAGAAGCAGCAAATTTCCAAAGCCCTATTTTTTCATCATTAAACCACATTTGTGGAACTTGATATAATTTAAAACACAATATATTCTAACAAATGCATCTCTTCACATACCCATTGTGGTGCCCTGTGAATGCCCAATGTAAAATACTTGTTCCTGGCCAGTCTTCTTCAAAATAAAGTCCACTGAGGCTGGAATGTCATACTTAGCCATTTCATCAAAGCTACAAAGCAAAGATAAAAAGTCAGTTGTGTAAGTAAAGTTATCAGTGTGGAACAGCTGCACAGAGCTTTACTGCACCGCAGATCAGTTGTCTGGACATAAAGAAAAGCTCCCTGTGGATGAAGCAGAACACTTTGGTGATTGAGTCTTCACATCGAGCACCGGTGAAAGCAATTAACGTTCTACTGACCACGACGTATGAAGGCTGTCTCAGGACACTATACTGATCATACAACTCCCTTGTACTGCCCCTATATGTGTGACAGCACACGTAACCGGCAAAAAAATATCTTGTATATTCACAATGTGACTTAACTGAGATGATGGGCAAAGAGAGGAAGAGAAGCCTGCTTGCAAACAGCGTGTGTAGTTTCTCTAGTTTCTCTAGCAAGACAAGGATACCTGAAAACCCAGAATTCTTCTTGCTTCACTGTGAAGTGTGTATGTTTCCTGGACCAGGTGTTCCCTCTGCTGTTTCCCAGCCATACATCATAGCCAGCATCTGCCAGCATAAAGCCGAGGCTGTTGTAATCCAAGTTTGTGATCCAATTGCTGGCATCTGCAAGCAAACCATGCTGCAGAAACACAGCAGGCCTTGGACCTGAAAAACAAAGCATTTATCGTAGCTTCCTGTTCCTCTGGAACTGAATGCCTAAGAATTATTCAAGTGAGTTATTGAAAGTCTGCTTTAGATTTGCACTTTGAATATTTAACCTACGTGACTTAATCTACTAAGGTTAGCAATTTGTGTAATATGCATAGTACCATGAAATCACGTGTTTTCACAAAAAGCTACTTTTTATCATTAAGAATTTTAAACTAGCAACTTGTTAGTTTCCTACCTACAGCAAAAGACTCCTTGAAGTTCAAAACAGACAGCAAACGTGCAGTAAGCAAACATGAGAAAAGCAGGAACTACAGGAAAAATACAGGCAGCCCTTACAACTGCTTCAAGCTCACCAATACTCAGCAAAGTGGCCCAAACACAGAGACAGCTAAACTACTTATGACCCTTGCCCTGCCCCTAAACCTGGGGAAGGCATTTGCATATATGTGCTACTGAGATCTTTGTTTTCTAGTTGAGACAATGCCAAACTAGGGTGCTGAGCTGCGGAAATCTCTGCAACTGGTACTGATGATATCTCCATGCAAATCCCTTCCATTACCAAAGCTCTGGCAGAACCTGAAGAGCAGTCGAGTAGCCAGCAAGGGAATCTATGTTTCAAAGGACTTTCTCCCCTTGACTTAAGTAGTTAAAAGAACCACAGTCAAGACCCAGGTGGAATTTAGGAAGCCTCTCTTCTGACTTCCCCATGCTGAAAAGGGAAGTGATACCTTTATGTGGAATACAGATTAAAAAAATGGAAGGTTCCTGCTTCTACACAAAGAAAATAAATTAACATATAATCCTTTAGGAGGAACATGACTTTCAGAAAATCCAAAGACCTGTCTCTGGATCTCGCAGTAGCACAGGTGTTTGGGGTTTTTTTTTTCTGCTTTAATAAACTGAAATCTGATAACATGGTAACTTTAGCTCAATGCCAGAGATTACTCAGGAATTTACCTCCTCCAATGACACATCATTCTACTACAATACTAACTCACGCAATACTGCCTCCATTGATAATTTAGACTTGGATCTTTCAGCAGAAACAGCCAAATCACAACTGCTTCAGTCACCTACACACTCCATTCCAGGTCATGTCCATAAAAGTTTGCTGTGAGTTCCAAAATCCAAATTAGCAATATTCCTCCCTCCTGGCAACCTTTACACCTGTGACGAGGAACCTTTTCAGTGCCTGCTTTTCCCATTTTGTTAAAAAAACATGTTGTGGCATACTGTCCCTGCAGCCAGAGCAAATCTCCAGCAGTGCCAAACTGGTACTGGAGACAGTACAGTTCAACACAACTGTTTACTCCGCTGCAGTAATACTTCACTGCCTTATGAACAGCGTGCAAGATTTTCAAGCCTAACATTAAATTTGTTTTCAGAAACGTTCCCTTTTAGCATTCATACCTTCCTCCCTTTTACTAAACTCAGATCAACTAACTTCTGATTTTTTGAAGAACAGGCTCTCCTCAAGCTGCTACTTGCATGTTTCATAACATAGGAAGGGGAAAACTGTTTAACTGCTTTAATGCTTTAATTCTGCTCTCCCATTAGCCTCCAATTTCTGCCAGTTCCTTTTTCACTTTACCAAGCAGTCACGCACATGAATTGCACAATCATATGACAAACTGACTTGGACAATAATAATTTTGGATCATCTCTGATCCTAAAAACCTCGAAGGGGGAAAAGAAAGGCAGGTTCCCTTTCCACTATAGAACATTTTGTTCTCTTCACTACACTCCCAAGAAGTTGAAGACAGACTTATTTCCATGCCCTTCTTACCCATGCTATGCAGTTGGTTTAGATTTTTAGTTAATGCTAAAACCAAAAACCATTGACGTTTTGCTTTTAGGTTCTCTGGACATTTTCCCTTTTTTTTTCCTTAGGTGAAGAACTGTAGGTTTTGTTCTAAAACATCACGTGATACATAATTCCAAGGGATCCTATTAACATTATGCAGGTATTGCAAAAGAAGAATTATGGCATATATATGCTAAGTCAGCAGCAACACAGCATTGGTATCTTTCTGAGAAAAGATACCAAGTCTATAAAAACTTAAGATCAACATGAACTTTGAAATCTTCATTCTTCTAGATCATACTTCCCCACATGTGCTCAGTAATCCTTGTTTTTAAAATTAAAGCACTTTGCAAAACATGAACTTGGGGTCGAGGGTGTGGCAAGGGGAATGTGGAGAATTCCCACAGGTCAGGAAACTTCTGTTTGCTTATGTCATCGATGAAGGATTCGACAAAATCAACAGGTACAAAGGCAGCCTGCCTTTTTCCTGTGGGCTTCTCTGAAATTCTTAAGTACAAAGACACCTGCCAGATGCACTGATCTTTACACACCCACCTTGTGAGAGACAGCGGACAGTGCAAACATCCTAACTCATACAAAACCAACAGATAAGGTCAGGAAGACTGTTGCTTGGCCTTTGGCAGAGGAGAGGGTTTTTCCACAGGTCTTGTTCACACCCAAGGCTATAGGACAATCACTGATTTCTTTTGTGAGCTCCATGTTTTTACCTCTCATCCTAGGTTTTTTCAGTCCAAAGGGTTCTGAGGCAGTCCTTACAATGTGTACAGTTTCTATGCAAACAGGCCGTTGTTGTACGCATGGGATTGTCTGTAGGATCTTTTGTAAGGGGTGGCGACAAGACTGATACCAAATTCAGCCATTGCTGTTCAAATACGCTGTCAATTCCATATGCAGCACACAAGGATAGTAAGTCAAAGACTACATCTCTCCTCTTCCACATACATTTGTCTCATTTTTAAAGCATTCCATCATTCAGTCCTTGCAAAAACCTTTGCCCATGTTGCTCCTTTAAGTTTCAGCTTACATTCCCCCCATCCTTCCTCTCTCTCACCTCCTCACCTGTCCACCCCCTGCATCCCTTCCACGGTTTTATACCAGCTTTATACCAGTAATTCTTACAGCTTGTAACAGTGCTCTGGTGGCACATGCCAATGCTCCTCCCAGTCCCCCATCAAATCACATCCATAAAATAACCTCGTCTGGGCTCACTGTTGTCAACTACCTGTTACATATCCTAATTTGCAATATATTTTTAAATGTATTGGACTCAAGATGTTCTGAAGGGCTTTTATCTTACTACATTGTTTTACCTATTTAAGCAGCTGTGTAAGATATGACAGCCCAGTAGTATACAGTATTGGTCTGGCTTGTACCTTACTGCAAAGGGAGCTTCAGAGAGGTTAAAATTAACAAACGAATTCTTATTTTATGCAGAAATCAGGCACTAATTATTTTGTGAACATTCTAGTGGGAACTCGTGTAGTTTAGTTATATTTCACCAAAAGAGGCATGTGAACTGCCCGTACTTCTGAAAATGGTCAGGAATTTTTAAAAAACTTATTTGTTATAAAGAAGCATTTTTAAAAATGGGGCTTGAAATAACCCAACAGCGTTACAATCAGCCTCTTTTCAAAAGACTTTATTACTTTAAAAAAAAAAAAAAATCTCAACCCTTATTTTCCACTTCCTAGAAAACCCAGGCCTCTCAGCCCCTCAAAAAATCAAACAACAACGAAGGGCTTGTATTAATGTCACAAAAAGGCAATGCCAGAAAAATATAGCTTTCTAACTCCTTCTCCCTTCCTTTACTCAAGTCACTCTACAGGTGCCTAATCTATTTTGGCCATAACATTCACCAATAAAACATTCTAACCGCATAGGTCATATAGTCTTTAATCTTGTTCTGGATTATTACAGGAGCAAAAGTTTTATAAATCAAAGAGAGCTTTTTCATGACTTCCCATTTTTCCAAGCAGACATAAATCTTACCTTTGCTCCTCTCACGGCCTTTTCTTCCATAAGGAATTCTGTTAACGGAGAGAATATACCCATCTTCTGTTGTCACTTCATACTCCTCACTAGGGTATCCCCTGAAGGTAATAATTTGACTCTGAAGAAAGAAAAGAAACCACCTTGGAGTCAGACTGCCAGCCTCCTCAGTTCATTAACATGGGCAAAGTACTCTGGGTTCCTTCCAAAGGCAGCGATGTGAAATTAAAGGATGTGATAGGAATGTGCCATACCACCCGCCTATTTGATGCAAACAGGTTTTCTTACGAGACTTATCCCAGCACGGAGTCAGAAACTAGCCAGAGCACAAACCTTATCCTAGGAATTTGGGAGGACTCCCTAGCCTGTCCCCATCTACTGTCATATTAGTTACTCACACGCTGCTTACAGTGAGAAAGGAGATTATGATAACAGGGTAAAACACTGAGATGCGGATTTGGCAGACAAAAATTGAAACTGTCTGCTCTCAAGGAAAGCAGTACCTTCCAGTAACAAACAAGTGAGGACAGCAAATAGCCGCTGGTACCACAGCAACATATAGAAGAAGAGAAGGAGGGAAGAGTTCACCTCTCCTGAAGGGAAAGGCTTCTTTAAAACACTTCAGATTTATATCTGAACTTTATACTGAATTCTCTGTTATACAGAGGACACAATCACGTTTAGGCAATGTGCTGAAATGAACCACAAACACAGCAGCTTTAAAACACTAAGGTCACACTATTCACACGTGCGAGCTGCTGACATTGCCACCTCAGCTCGTAGTTTCATGTGCCATTTCCTACTCACCTTTCTCCTCAAACCTTATGTCTGTTACAGAGCTTGTAAGTGACTTTGCTGACAAGCCAAACAAGAAAATAATAATAAACCCACACTTGTTTAACACTATGATTTCATTAATAGGTTTATCTCCCATCTCTTATGTCTCCGGATTTATGTTATTTTCATTTGATGCAACTCCATTAGGACAGAGAAGTTCCTATTTAATTGGTTTTATGACACCAACCGTGCCTTTGTAAGAAATGCAAGACATGATCAGAGTTCCACTCTTAGGCTGCTGGGCAAGGAAGAGAAGGAGCATTTAATTAAACATGCTATTTCTTTTAAATATATCTTTAATCATCCACAGTGACATTAACATTCCAAAATGATTTTAAGGCTAAATTCCATTCAAATGCTATTAGCCTTAGACTAAATGACTATTTTCAGTCCTCAAAATGATATTTAGATGATACTGACAACTCAAGCACTTCTTTTCTTATAGACCTTAAGCATTTCTAGCTTGAAGTATCTTCTCGCCCATAGGAGAAAATGGCACAGTTTAGATGGGGCAGAGGAAAGAGCAACTAATACCAGTTACTAACAGCAAACATTTTCTGGAGTTGGCTATTGCAGCAGCAGGAGAATGAAGTTAAGAGAGTAAATGCCAGATGGGAAGAAAAGCAGTTGTGGGTAAGAACACGGGAGCATTGTGCCAGCAGCACAAGTATGCTTCATAAACATGCGCTTTCCTAGCAGTTAAGAAAGAGAGTGTCCTGACTCTAGCAAAAAACACAGGTCTGGACCAGAAAATATGTAAGAGAAAGATCAGCCACAGCCAACAGGGGAGCAAGAAGGACCTGGAAGGAAGAGAAGAGAAAGACGACATCTAAGCAGGGGGTCGTAAGCTGAGGCTTACGCAGCAGCAGGCTGACCGCTGACCAGTGGCTGAAGTCTCCCGGGGCTTTCACCGCGGCTGCTGAGGGCGGGAGGCAGCAGGCTTGCGCCCGTGGAGCCAAAGAGGGGCCGCACGCCGCCCAGACGCCCCCCTGCTCCTCTCCTCGCCCCGTTACAACCCGGCGGCC